AACAAAACCATGACCTTGCATAAACGTACGGTTTTTGTTTTTGTGTTGTTCGAACGACTTAAAAGTTAAACCTATCTAAAGTTACTATCATATTACATAATTTTAATTAATCAATCATGAAATTATCCAAAACAAATTTTATTACCATTTATACATTTATAAGCTAGTCTCAAACAAATTTACTTATTAAACCATGATTACTGTATATAAACAAAATGGTAAAATATTTACTTATTCCTTCTGGACATTTGAAATCATGCTCTGCAAGTATAATGATAGGAGTTTTTCTTTCTAATCGTTTGCAAATATTGGTATTAGATAAAAGAAATGCGTTTATTTATTGCACCAATGACATCTTAGTTATACATCTAATTACCTTAAAGATGTCACACGTGCGTAACATCTATTTTCATTGGACAACAGGAGGTTTATACCAATTTACTATCAATAGAGTATAAAAATTCGTTAAATACATTTTGTCAGGTTATGCATTTTTATTATTAACAGTTGTCGAATTAACAATAAAATACAACCGTTTATATTGTTACAAATAACCTATAAAAGGACTTAGGGCTCCCCAAATGGTAAGCCTTATGGTTAAGGTATCTGTCTCTCACCCTACGGGTTGTGAGTTCGAATCTTTCCCGTGTGACTTTGGGCTCTGACACGACATCAGTTCTCAAATCTAGTTAGTTTCAGGAAGTGAACCCGGAAGAAAATGATAAATACATGTACAAGTAACAGGAAACTATTTCAAAATCACAGTTTTTAAACTAAACGTCATGATAATAATTAAGCATTAAATATGACCAACATTTTATAATTTGACGATTAAAGTGTCTTATCTTAGATCACATTACCTAATTCGGTTTTATTGAGTTTTCTGTTGTATGGACTTGGGTTACAGAGGGTTGTGTCACAACATTTCACGTTTTTATCTTTCTGCTCACCAGTCAAATTTACATACACTTCACATTGCTGAGAAAATCAAATAAATTGCATTTTAAGATCTTACTGGCATGAAAGTCACGCCATTTCAAATAAAAAAGAAATGTTGTTACATAAGATATGGTGGCATTTTTCCGCCAACATTGAAACACTTTTTTTTATCACGTTTGCATTATATTTACCTTCTAATTATCTGATTAATTTGCAATTACTTTCTTTTAATTGACGGATACAATGTAAGTTCCTCCAAAGACACTATAAAGTGCTTACAACTGTCAACACTTTATAATTTATGTTTATCTATAAACCAACCATATATGCGTCACTTAAGTTTCAGAACATTGTCACGTAAATATTTTCTTTGATATGTCACATTTTATAGATACACAGAAAACATACGTATCTTTTATCTAATAAGTAAATTTTGGCAGTTGTGGGCACTTTCTAGTGTTTTTGGAAGGTATATACATGTACTTACATTGTATTCGTCATTAAATTAGATGAATATATCAAGTTAATTAGATAAATGTATTAGACTGTTATATATGAACTATGCCACCATAATAAAAAGATAATTATTTATTTAATTACTTAGTCTGGTTCTATCTTTACTTTCAGTTCTTTATTTACTCACCGCTGGAAATAAAGCGATGCCATGTGATCAATTAAAATTACCAGTTGTCATAACATGCTTATATTCTGAATTAGGAATGAGACGTGGTTTTGATTATAATAAACTTAATATTTACTGCTCTTTTGAATTTGCATCCGAGTTCATATGTCCCAGGTTGAAGAGAACGAGGATGATTTGTGACAGAGCACGCCTTTCAATGATAACAAAAAAATCCAAAATATAATATTTGATTTAAACTTCATTTTTATATGTAATAACATACATGTCAATATAAAACAAGCAATTATCATAGTATTGCAAGCAATCCATAAGTCCCCTACCGGTTAGAACCCCAGCAACATTCTGAAGGGCCATTAAATTGGCAATTCACTTATATTTCTATTTTAAGTAAATTTGTTGAAAAAGTTCTTTAAAAGTGATCACAGGAAACAGTTTTTATGTACAGACAGACGGACTGAAGGACACTCTACAGTTATTTTTTAAACATCCCTGTTATCAAAATATAAATTTTTAAAAAGGAGATAACTCTTGAAATTAAGATGCAAGATGTCATACATGTGAGTGTAACAAAGAATAATTAGTAATGAATGTTTATTTTGAATTTAAAGTAAATGAAAGTTAAAAGAACTAATAAGACGAATAAGAAAGATTAAAAGTTTAAGGAGGAGATAATTCTGGAAATATGGATGCTAGATTTATAAACCTTGACATATTATTATGATGTGGGAGTTTGAAGAAAATCCTATCATGATTGAAGAAGTTGGAGTAAAAATAACCAATTTCTCGATTTAAAAGGGGCATAATTCTGGAAATTGTCTTGCTAGAGTATTGAACTTTCTAACAAATGTTGAGTCATAATAAGAAACATATATATGAAGTTTGAAGTAAATACATTCAGAAAAAAAGAAGTTATTAAAAAAATATATATTTTTTTCATGAAAATGTTAAGCTCAAGGGAGGTAATTCTGATAAATTTTGTTCTAAAGTTGTAAGCTTTGTCACATATGATGTGGTTGATGACTAGCAACTTATATTTAAAGTTTGAAGAAAATACCTTAAGAAATAAATAACTTATAGTGAAAAAAATTTAAAAACTAAAATCAGAAATCTAGAAATTTTCAACATAGGAAGATAAGAAAAGGATGTGCATAATTTCCATAATTGCCATCTACCCATGTGTCAAGTTTCATAAAAATATTTTCAATACATTTTGCGTTATCACTGGATCCAGGTTATGTGTAAAATTTGCCATATTTTCAGTCTATTTGTTGTCATAGCAACCAGAATTTTAAGCATAGGAAAAAAAGGAAAAGACGTGCATAATCTCCATACTGCCATCTATCCATATATCAAGTTTCATAAAAATATTTTCAGTACTTTTTGCGTTATCGTGGGATCCAGGTTATGTGTAAAATTTGCCATATTTTCAGTCTATTTGTTGCCATAGCAACCAGAATTTTCAACATAGGAAGAAAAGAAAAAGACGTGCATAATCTCCATACTGCCATCTTTCCATATATCAAGTTTCATAAAAATATTTTTAGTACTTTTTGCGTTATCGCGGGATCCAGTTTTGTGGACGGACGGACAGACTGACGGACGGACGGACAGACAGACGGACAGACGGACGGAGGGTAAACCTAAAGTCCCCTCCGGTAAACCGGTAGGGGACTAAAAATGGGCAAATAGAAACAGATTAAAAGAGAGAGAGAGAGAGAAATAACACTTGCAAACTGTATCTTACCACAAAACTAGTTACAAACATTCAAATTATGACAAGTTAATAACCAAACAACTAGGTCAACATGTTCCAAAAGACAATGACGGTTAAATTATCAAAATAAGACAAGGCATTGAAAACGAAACAATATCACATGACATTGACATAAACAGGGCTTGAGGAAGAAGACATTGAAAAACATAAAAATTAAAGATCCTGTATGTTGTAATTAAAGTTTTCACCACACTTAAGTGAAATGTTATATGTGTATATAATTATGCTTCCAAAACTATTTTCAAACATCGAAGAATATGTTAAATATGTACTGAAAATATGTTATCATTTAAATATATGAATTCATTTCTTATTGAAAAATTTAACTTAGACTTTAAAGAAATTAAATTTCCTCCCTTTATCAACATGAAATGTAAATTCGGCAATATTTTTACAAAGAATGCTTTTTGGAACTTACAATAATGATAAATATTCATTTGAGCATTATATTTATGATATAAACCATAAAAAATGAGTTACAGGATCATCAAAGGTAAGAATTGAATCTGAAATCATATAAGGTTAAAGTAAAAGAAGACATTGGCAGAAATATAAGGCCGGAATGACACGCGACATTTACGGCATACAACGCCAAAGGAAATCAAGGCAGTGTCAAACAAGATCAATACATGGAAAAAAAATCACGATCAAAAGTAAGACTTTGAAATACCTTAATTGTAATAGTAAGTCAATAAATTGACAAACATAACATATCATAGTAAGAAAAGACATTGTCAAACATACACGGTCATTGGCAATAATGCAAGGTCAAAAAGTTAGACAAGAAATTTGCAGACGTACAAGGTAAAAGTAAGACAAGACATTGAAACAACATACAAGGTCAGAAAGAAAGATAAGTCATTGACAAACATACAAGCAACAATAGATCAAGACAATGACACACTTATTAGGTCAAAAAGAAGACATTGACATGCATACAAGGTCAAAAGTAAGAGATTGACAAACATACAAGGTCAAAATAATAAGACATTGACAAACATACACGGTCAAAATAATAAGACATTGACAAACATACACGGTCAAAATAATAAGACATTGACAAACATACAAGGTAAAAAAGTAAGACAATGACAAACATACAAGACCAAAAAATAAGGCATTGACAGACATACAAGGTAAAAAAGACAGACATTGACAAGCATACAAGGTCAAAAAGTAAGACATTGATAAACATTCAAAATCAACTAAGACAATACACTGATGAACATATAAGGTCGAAAGTTATACAAAATATTGGCAGACACTGAAATTCAGAAAGTAATATAAAGCAATATCAATGTTAGACAAATATTGTCTGACATACAATGATGAAGTAAGATAAAACATTGTAAAGTCTTTAAGGTCGAAGTAAAATAAGGCATTGTCAAACATACAAGGTCAAATAAGGGTATCAGGCATAGACAAGCAAACAAGTTAAAAGTACGGCAAGACATTAACAAATATACAATGTAAATGTAAGGCAATACTTTAACAAACATGCAAAGACAAAGTAAGATAAGTCATTGAGAAGCTTACGATATAAAATTGAAAAAGAAATTAACAGTATAACAAATAAAAAGCCAAGTTGTGACATTACTTGGACAAACATGGAATGTCAAAATAAAATCATGTATTTGTCATAGAAAACAAATTACAACTGATTATAGTCTTGTAAAAACTTGCAAGCTATTAATTAACAGACTTAATGCAATGTATATTACTAACATGCACTAGCTGTAAATAAATTTAATTCACTACTTACTTATTTAACTTTATAAACTATTTATTTATAAACTTAATTCACTAGCTACTGTCTTATAAACATTATCTTCTACATATTTATATAAAACATACACTAGCTAATAATAAACAAAATTCACTCACTATATACATGTACCTACTTACATACTTAATGCGATAGTTACCAGTAAACTTTTATTTATTACTTACTAGTAATCTGAAGGCATTATACATGTATAGCTAATAAAATACTTAATGCACCATCTTTCAATAAACTTTACTTCATACTTTAATTATTTTATGTTTAATGCACGACTTAGCTTGTTTGCTATTAATAAACTTACATATAATGTAAGATCACAATCTTCAGTTGTTGTACATTGTGGTCCTCCTTCAAAAACCTCGTCACATTTAAAACATTGCGTGATGTTGTTCGCTGGTTCTGAAATATTTATACCAATACCAACAGAACGTTTTAGTATGTTTGTTCTTTCTTGTTTTCAATTGTTACCCCCAGCACAACCCCCTCCCGCATCTACCAACTGTCACACCTAACCAAAGTTCAAAGTGAATTGTTACCGAAAATTCAGAATGAAACTCGCAGAGGTCGTGGCAATTCATTTCATGATGTCTGGTCTAAACGATTTTGCACTGTCTATGCACTGACAAACAGTATGTCGAATAGCCCTTGTTGTTTCTCCAAACATTGCCTGATTGCGCTTTAAACCTCAACGTAACATTCACTTAAACGCCTTTAACAATTTTAACAAAGATTCCCTCATGCACTGTTTAATTTTCATCTAAATAAAGCAGAATAATGAGATTTCACTGAAGGACATTGAGAAAGTGAAGTAGCATTTGTTTTTGTATAATTTATATTCTTACGTTTATAACCGCATCCTTCCACATTGCAGCTATCCTCGAAGCAACATTCGGAACACAGAGTTAGGTCATTGTTTACCTGTTTCTTCCTTGAAAACCCGTCACCGTATGCCTTCTTATTACATAATTGTAAGGTGCAATACTGAAATAGAACAAATTTTAGGCATAAACTTTGTTAATCAGATCTTACTAGCAGTTGTTTGTGTGATCTGGTTAGGTCATATATGAAGACAAAGAGGATATTGGTTTGTTTGTGTGTAAGATGAATTTTATTTCATCGAGTGAGCCTCAATAACAGTATTCTCATGAGTGGCGTAGCCACCCGTGAGAATACTGCTTTTAAAGTTCACGAGATGAAATAAAATTACATCTTACACAACAAACAAACAAATTTTCTTTTTATTTTATGCTTAAAAACAAGTTTAAACGAAATTTCCTTAATATTAACGTTAATATTAAAATCTGTTTTCCCCATTAAAAGCCTCATTTAGTCGAATTCTGCATTAAAACAAGAAGTCTTGGGCTGAAAACTAAGTTTGACAATCAACGTTAAATGGCGGTGATATTATTAATTTTATTAAAAAATATGAATGATCGCTTGTTTTAATAATAAAAGCAAACCATTCTAGTAGGAGAAAAAGTCCAACCATCCATCTATATTTCTGTTACTTACTGCGAATTTATAAAAGACCTGGCTTTGTTAATGTAAGCAACCGCCATTTTTAAAAGTTGTGCATTTCACGAGAGGAAAATAACTTTTTGATTCAGAGGAATATCATTTGGATTTGTTAGTCATACACCTTTTTAAAAGAAATAAAACTTATCTAAGAATAGTAACAGACAACAAATAAGTGTTGACAGAGGTGTAAACATTCAAAAAGCGGCTAGGAAACTGGAAAACTTGGAATTGTTGAAAGTCTGCCTAACGAACGCTGGGTTGTTTACTTATTCTTCGGGCTGATGGCTGTCATTGCTTTTCAAGTTTTCATAAAGCATACGGCAGCTTTTGCTAGTAGGATACTTAAATATGCCCAACTGTCATCAAGAGCAGTTTTGCATGTGGAAGGAATGTATTTTTCAGACTGTAAAAATGAAACAAACAAAAAATAAAAGACGAAATTTGGTGATTGGTAATTTGGATGAATAGAAGTTAGTTTTCTTCTTTTATTACCTTTGACACATAAGTTATTTATCTATTTCAACTTAGCTTTTCTCACTGTGAAATTATCAAATATAATTTTCACGGATAAATCAGTCTTCCACTGAAAAAGCATAAAATGATATTTTCTATAATTGCATGTGTCAGTAGAACAACCTAGATATCCCATCCTCTGTCTTTTGTTTCAAGAACGAATAGGAACCTGGTGTTTCAAAGAGTTCATTATGTTAAAATATGGTTATTAAGCAAATTCATTTTATACATCCACGTTTTCAAACAAAACGTAGTGTCATGACATCAGCAACGTCATTCCGAATTACAAGACGTATTATGTGCAACAGATGGAGTAAATAGTGTTACGATATATAATAAAATAATGTGTCTTACTATTTTTGTACGAGAAAACTTAAAACAATATGCCTTACTTCCAAAGCCTTACATCCAGTATTGTAAACCGGTTTGAAGTCAACTGGAGACAGTTTTTTTTCTATGTAGCAAGTCTGTAAATGTAAGCAAAATCAAAGCACGGTAGACACTGAATTTGTTTGAGTCACAAAAGAGCATTACCTTTTACTTCGTAAATATAAATCCTGACTTTTTTCTATTGATATGATGACTATAAAGTATAGAAACAAAATTTCATATAAACTATGATAAGAATTGCCACAAATTACTTATTTTTTCAATCAATTTTACGTGATAACCCTTTGATTTTTTACCATAGAAATGAGAAACACTTTAAGAACATTACAAGTAACAGTAAACATAATGATCCATATTTGGCATCAGATAATCTATAATATTAAACATGACATTTTTGATATAATATTTACCTCGTTGGCATTGCACAAAATGGCTTCTTTGCAGTTACTTAAATCAGCGACATTGTGACAGCTTAAGCATGTGATGCATTCGGCAACTTGAAAATTAAAAGAACCCTCTATGAATGGAAATGTTTGATATATTACTTGTTCCATTATCTCTAAATTCAAAAGTTTTTTTTTCCACTAAATTCGTTCAATTTGTAAAGTTTATACATATGCACATGTAAAACTTAAATGGGATAACATCTTTCGAAACGTGCCAAAGCAATGCATCTTTCGTGGTACAAAAACTAATAAGTTCAAAATACAACTCAAAACTAAAAAGGCCTAACAAACAAAAGTGTTTGCAAAAAGCGTTCATCATTGACCAGGTACTTTATTTGTTTCCAGACTGGGAATAAATAAAAGACGAGGACGAGATCGATATTTACTCTTACATAGTACGTAAAGTATAGATCTTCGTCATGGTTCTAAGCGGGATAACATTCAAGCGTCTCCGAAGTGTTTGATAAAAAGAAAAAAAGATAAAAAGAGTTTTAGAAAAATGCTGATTGGTTTCCGAGGGGGAACGAGTCTTTCAGTCTGGATATTATCTGACCGCCACACGGATAATACTTATCGCGTATTCTGTATGAAAAAAACCCATTCAGCTCCATAAATTATGATAATAGAAATATTCAGCAGATATATTTTATAATTGTTTAAATATTTAATCATAAAATTATTTATGTATCAGGAAAATAATTATTTATATTTACAATTAATAAGACGTTATGTTTCGGTAACTCAGTTTTAACCAGCCATAATTTCAAACGATATGCTTCGACACCTCAAAATCAAATCTATAAGCCAATCCAAATACAATCTGATTAAAATCAGCTCCTAATTATCGCTACGCATTAGGATCTGACGGCATCGATAGGAGGTCACTTTCTCGTGATCTTTCGAACAGCAAAACATCGGCGAGCTTTCACAATTTAAAAAGTTTTTGTAATTTAACACTGGAAAACCATTACTGAGTAGGTATTTTCACAATTTCGAGAACAAACATGGCGTAAACTGCCTCTGTTGGAATGAACTTGATTCCACTGAAACAATTGTTTTATACATCTTTTTATTTTTATGTTTTCCTAAGTATAAAGTCATGGTTAGAAAATATTACCTTTTATGTTGAGTAAAATAAATCCAAACAGGACAAAGCCTGAAAAAATCAAAATGCAAACATTCTTATTCATAACACATTTAAAGTATTTTCTTATCAGGTATCCATCTGTAAAGGCTAATGTTTATTTCCATGAACAAAGGCCTAAAGGAGAAATCATGAAGGTCGTCCAACACACTAAAACTGAAACTGCTCCAGGGTCGGTGTCATTTTCTCTGTTGAGTGCATATATTCGTCCATGCCCCCCCCCCCAAGAAATAAAATTGGCTGTAACATATCTTATTATGAAAATCATGTGCAATTTAAGACCTTTTACATTAATCTTTCACACCGACTCTGCAATGGTCATATGGTGGCTTTCCAGTTTTAGTGATGGAGGGGCCACTCCTAAATTATTTCCGGCACGAGCAAAACCTTGTTAGAACAATCTAGCTGGATATATTCCTCATATGAAAGAATCCAAGGTCTCGGACGGGATTCGAATCCGCAACGGCGTGTGTCAAGTGCTTGAATGTTTTATGGACATGTCGAGAATCATTTGATAAATTTGAAATTAAGCAATCAACGCATATAAATATTAGTCAAATGATAATAAAATTGAAAATAAAAATTAAATTGATTAAACAGTAATTTAATTATAGGACAGATGTGTTTTATCTCGAATAATGACAACTTTATCAGTCAATGTGAACTAATAGCTAGCATATAGGACGATTCTATAAGAAATTTGTGTATTGACCTATTATATTATTAAACAAATTAATCCAAGATACTATTTATAGTTATGTATGTACTAATTAAAAGTCATTGTCCAGCGCTTTACGTTGAAAAGCGCTGTATCTTTTTAACAAAGTAGAAAAATAATACTCATTGAATTTAGGCAATGAACATTCATGAATATATTGAGATTTTGTTAAAAAAACATTAATATTTTACCTATAGGTACTATCCGTTTCATCTTCGTGGTGGTATATCTGTGTAAAGTCGCGGCGCGATAAGGAAGTGTACTTAATGATCTAATATTTTAACAGATAACAAATTTAGTATATACACTCTTAATATTCCTTCCCAGCTCACAGTCTTGGCGTTAAATTGTCGTCTGCTGACTGTGCACCTAGCAGGTGGTCAAATCAATTTGCATTTCTTCTGCTTTTAGTCTGTTATTCTTCCTAAAATAGAACATCGAGGACGCGTTTGTCTCCTCGCATGTCCAAAGGTCAAATAACGCAGTGAAAAAACTAAAATTGTTTAGCGTTTTATGTGTCAGCATATAAATTTAGTTTATCCGTACTTGTAGCATAGACAAACTTTAATCATTTTGATAAAACATATTTTGAAATTACAAAGTATGGAAATGTATATAATTTTGCATTTAACAGAATATTCATGACAATACTTTTTTCATCGATGCCCATGTCCCATTACCTTGCATCTTGTGTGTTTTTAGTTTTTATTTTCGGTTACTAGATATCAAGAATAATATCGATCTAAGTGGTGTTATTTGACAATTTAACATCACTTTTAGAGCTGCTTTCGTAAGAAAATTGAAAACTTACAACCAAAACATTATGAAGTAATTCCTATCACAGCCACTTTTACTTTGATTCCTACGCGATATTATTTCAACTTCCATAACAAGTATTTATAGCAAATCTAAATTGATGCTTAATGTCCGAATATCATCGCTTAGACCGATTAATTTTTTTATTATTGTACCATAAATAATAGTGGTTAAAGTCACTTTAAGCTTTAGAACAAATTATGGACAAATTACAAATCATTTCAATGTGAAAACAAATGATAAATATATGTCATTTAGAATGGAAGTTGAACATATACATATGTACATGGCGTCATTAGAATAAGAACAAAGCTCTTGAGCACAGTTTCTAACACCGAATTCTCTGACAAGGTGACCAAACTATATTTCTTATGGTGTCTGATTAGCGACATATCGCAAAATACGTAAAAACGAAACCAAGATACAACAGAGTCAAACATTGCCGTATCTTCACGTTTACCCATTTTCGATGGGAAAACAAATGCAAAAGGACAACAAAATAAGGGTGACGATAAAATGAATCGTGACTTTGCATTACCTTTGCTGTACTATAAACGTATTCGTGGCGTAAATGGAAAGTGTGCGACTTTGTCGTGCTTTTGCTCGTTTCGTGTTGTTACATCTTTAATTATTGCATTTCTCGCATTTTCGCGTAGGCCACATCTATAGCAACGAATCAAGCTTAAATGTGATAACATACAATTTGTAAAAAAAAAAATATTATATTAAATCATTGTAGTTTCAGCAAATTAACCAAAAAACATGATATACAAAATCAACAAGGAAAGGCGGCGTTCAATGAACGCAGCCCCGACACGATCCAGCAAACAGAGCAAATGTCAAGGAGCCCAGGAGGACCGTTAAACAAAAACAGAACAGGGCACAAGGAAGAACATAGGCAGGCCAATTACAAAAATCATACATAAGAAGAAACAATCAGTAACTGATGAGGAACTCAAAGAAAACAAATACATGATTGATTAATATGCCCATAAAGTCAACAGGGACAAGGGAAAGGGACAAGACCAGAGGAAGGGGGGAAGGGGAGGTAAATAAAAGAAATAAAAACTAGGGGCAAAGGAAATGATACCTACCTTAGACGAAAAAACAACAAGGGACACAAAAGTGTCACCAAAACAGTATGAAACAACAAAGACATACATCTGAGGAATACAAAGGGGCGCTGCCTTGGAACAGTCAGCAGTATAAATACTACTGGGAAGTTAAAACCGGTTAATGGTGCACAAAAGACAGTGTAAATAAAATGAATCCCCGTCAAGTGAAATTCTAACAATTGTCATGGTTACAAAATGTGAAATAAGTAAAACGTCGAAATGCTCAGTAAAAACATACAAAAGAAAATCCAATGACCATAACAAAAGTACTCAATGTCTTAAAGGAAGACAGATCAACAAGAAGATCACCCACAAGGGCCCGACGAAGCAAGACAGAAGACGAACATTAAGGCAATTCAGGCCCAAAGGGCTTTAAGAACTATCCATCATAGAGTTTTCCCACTTGGTCCGTCAGATGTAATCAAAAGAGGAAAGCGTAGCGTCCAACTGTAAATGGGTTGAACACTAAGAATGCGGTATGTCTTAAAATAGTAGGGTCATGACCCCTTTTAATAAAACGTTTAACAATTTTAGTAAAGACAAAAGAAAAATTACAATGACCTAAGATCTTACGAAGTTTGTAAACAACATCCCCGTAAAAATCAGGCTGGCCAAGCTCTTGTCGCAGAAGTGATTTTAGAACCCTATTGAATTTTGAAATTAAATCAAAGTTACGATTGTAAAATTTTGTAAAATATTTACTTAATTTATAATAGCGGTAGCCCTGTTTGAGTAGCTTACCACCATTATTTAACACGCACCTGCTTAATTTGTCACCATTTTTCCGCGCTGTGGCAAATGACTATGCGAAAAAGAGCATCTGTAAAAAAAGTAAAAATGAAGCAACAAATAACCATGTGAAAACATGCCACATCTATTCTTTGTGCCGTATTATTTTGCTTTTCTGTCTTAATAATTCGAACACATGAAGATACAATAAAGTCAATGACATGATACTAATAAACCACCATAATTTAACTATCAGCATTGCTTTTCGAACTAATTACGCCATTTTCACACAGGCCGGCGTATCTGACCTAGTTATTGATAGGATTGTAACTGTGTTTATTATTAAAAATTTCAGTAAGATAAAGCGGCCTATATATTTTCAATATACACACGTCATTACTGTTAAAGTAATTGTTTAGATGAAGGTTATGTACTACAAATAAAACAACAACAAAAACACCCATGGTACCTTTGATTCTTTAAAATCACCCTTGTTTATTGGCCTCATCATTAGCTGTTTGAGAACGTTTAGCAAATGAAAAATTTGTTGAGAGTAGTGAAGACGATAAGGAAATAACAGTTTCCTTTTGATAGAGTCGTAGTGTCGCTAGTGTCATTATACCAGTCAAAGCGTAAATGGGGAGTGCACATTGTAAACTCCAAAATTCCGTAATTGTGTTGATTTTTTTGCTAAGTGTCCAACGTACATTTATTATTATATAAATATCGCCCGGATTGTATAGGTATCGTTCAATTTGAAAAAGAGTACGGCAGTCTTTTGACGATTTAGTCAGTTCTTTTTATAGTTAATTTGAACTTTTTCATTATCAATAACCGGTGTTGGTCAATGACAATTACAAAAGTAAATCTCGTGAAATATTTTACTAATTCAATTTGACAGCGAAAAAAAGGAGCATAAATCCATATACAAATCCAAAACTAAACGGGTTCTATGGAACGTAAGAAATGTTAATTTTATCATTGTTTCTCATGCTATAGAATTAACCAAACCATTTTAATATCATTGCTCTCCCTTTCCTGTATTTGTCTGCAGATTTGTGGTAATCCACGTCCGTTTAAACAAGAAACGAAATGGTAGGTGCCTCGTTTTAGTTAATTGTTCTTCCCCTTGTTGATCTGTGCCTTGTTGATCTATACCATTTTGATGCTAAAATGAATGCACATTACATGACATACCTTAAACATTTGGTTATTAAGCTCCGCCTACTTTATGTAATGACCAACTCATCATAATGATATGAACACTCTTAGAAATAAACTACAAACTACTGGAATTAACATATCGTAGTCCCTGCATCCACGATACAATCCAATAATTATAAAACAACCCTATAACGAATATAATATGATTAATGGCTTAATTATTTAGGTTCCAAACTGCAGACAATTAGAAAAAATCCCTATATCTTCCATTAATTCTACATTTCAGTATCAGGTCATAATCAAATATTTCAATTTTGGCGACAGAACATGACATGTTATGTGTTGATAACATTATAAATCAAATTAAGTTTTCACGAGCCGAATATTCTGTATAAACACTAATTTTCTAACTGTTTTAATTTTTACACTCATATGAAAATATTTTTCTTTAAATTGAAAAATGAAAGACATGGTCGGTGTCAACATAATGGGAGTTGATTTATTTTTTCTATCGAATAAGATTTATATTAATTCAAATATTTGCTAGGAATATTATCATCGTAAGATAATTTTTAAAAGTCATTTGGAGCAATCTTTAAGATGACAACGTCTTTCATTATATTTATTGCCATGAGTGTTGGCTGTGGAACAATTTTTCCTTGGCTGAACAAACCGTACCCTGCATATGACGCTACAAGGTTTTGTAATATGGCATCCAATTTGATATGGATAATAAATGCATTTGTACCATTTATTTCACAACGAATATATCAGGAGAATGACTGCCTTGATGTTACTTAATCTAGAGAAAGATTAAGTAATACAAACAAGAACCGATTTCAAAGATATGGAGGCTGAGTAGCACCGCCTGACTTAAAATTGAAATATTCTCAGTTGGAAAACTAGCATGTAATTATACAGTTAACACTATTTTTAAGTGTTTTTATCTTTTCTTTCTCAAATCCATATATACATTGTAACAACAAACTCTGATCATTATCTACATCCAAAAACAAACACATATCATTTATCAACCACTTATACGAAAAATCTTTTCACGTATACGTCTTTTATACGAAACAATACTAGACACCTGGCGAGCCCAAACTCTAAACAACTTATGATCAAACAAAACAATAAAATAGCCACAAAAATGAAGAACACAAAATGAATATTTTTGCAACTCTAAGATACATTTTAAACCACAAACATTCAACCAACAATATTAGCTTCATAAAATCTAATCAGCATCAGAAAACAACTTAAACTAAAGCACCCAATATTTACAGGTAGCATCAAAAACAAAGCATCAACTAAGACAAAATTGCTCCATTCAACTCAACCATTTACAACCAATGAACCCTGATCAATTAAACTCCCCACAATTAAATTCAACGAACTTCATCAAATCAACAAAACTCCCTTCAAAAAACAACAATTTTCTTTTCTCTAAAAAAATGACTGCTACATACTATAAGTGTGCCTTCCCTTACTGATGTAACTTTTCTCCAAAA